TTCCCAATCCCCATCGGTTTTAGTCACTGGTAAATGTTTGAAGGTGTCAGCACTTACTGTTTGTCCTTGTCCACCTTCCTAAACATTTCCCTCCTGCTGGAAAGCAGCTGAGGAATCAGAAGATTTTGTGAGACAATTCCTTTCTCGATCTGCATAGAACAACCTGAATTTACCCCCAAATTAAGAATGCAATTTGTGTTTTTTTAACAGTAACAATTGAAATCTCCCTTTCTAGATAATGTTTTTATTTTTAACTGTCAGTCTGGTTCAGAGTCAGTCGTACTCTCGCCTCTGAGTCAGAGGGTTGTGGTTTCAAGCCCCACATCAGACCCTTGGAGCTCACAGTCTAGGTTGATGCTTAAGTGCCGTACTGGTGTTGGTTGGGGGAGGGGTAGCGCCACCTTGTTGGAGGTGCCGTGATTTGGATGAGATATTAAACCTCGGCCCCACCTGTGCTTGTTCAGGTGAACCTTCAAGATCCCAGAGCTCAATTCAAAGGCATATTATTTGAAGAGTGTCCCGACGAACAATCCCCCAGATAAAACTGATCATTCACTTCATGGTTGGGTATGAGACATTGCCATCCACAAATTGGCTGGTGTGTTACCTACAAACACAATCACTGCACTTACCTTAGACTACAGTAAATCCTGTGAAGTGCTTTGTGACGTCCTCTCGAAGTGAAAGGCCTGATATCAAAATGAAGGATTTTTTAAATTTAAAAACGCTGTGCTCTGAATGGTTTATTATGGAATATTGTAAAGCATCCAGTCACCCATACCAAGTGGACAAACTGGAAGCGTTCAAAGCCTCTCCTTTCTAATATGTATCACAAGATGCTTACAGACAGACTGTCACTGCGATATAAGGTTACAGTTGAATTGTAAGACTATCTCCGAAAACTAGCCTGGAATGTTTCTCATGGATGTTTCATAGTTTGAGAATTTTTATTTTGAGTTTGTTTTCACACGCCTTTGAAACCAGGCAAGCTTCAGCTTGAATCTGAGAGGTAAGTGGGTTTTTAATTTCCCAATTATAATAATCCTTGCATCTGATACAGCACCCTATCATGCAATCGAGATGTCTCAAAGCACTTCACAAAATTTACAGTAATATGCAATAATTGTGTGCTTGTTACAGCAGTCAATTTACTCACAGCAATGTCACGCAAATTACCACTAACTTTTTTTTGAAAAAAGGAATTTTTTTCCCAATGTCCTGGCCATCATTGAAGTGAATGACCGATTTTATTTGGGGGATTGTCAGCCAGGACCCCAGGAGAAAGAAACTTCCTTTCCTTTTCGAGAAGTGCCTTGAGATCTTTAATGTCCACCTAAACAGATACAGAAGAGACCTCGGTTTAAAGCCTCCTCCTGTGGGGTGTCTGCCAATGCAGCATCTTTCCAGCAGTACACTGGAGGGTCAGTCTTTTTTTAAAAGGGCAGTTTCTGGACAGACACCAGGAAGTATTCAGGGTGACAGAAACTGCCCTTTGTCACCCTCAATCTGTTGTTGCGCTTTATTCTGCTGTCCTAAAAAACTTGAAATTATTTTTCTGGGTTCATTCATCTAGCCTTTGGATGAGACATTAGGCTGAGGCCCCGTTTGTCTGTCTATGCGGATGTTAAATATCCCATGACACTATTGAGTTTCTCTGCCCCGATGTCCTCGCCAACAATCCCCGGTAAAATTCACTTCATAGCTGTTTGTGAGACACTACTGTACACAAATTGGTTGCTGTGTTTGCCTACAAAATGCAGTCACTGCATGCAAAACCTTGCGAAGTGCTTTGAAATGCTATATATAATGCAAGGATTATTATTATTATCATATAAAATCTTGCATAACTCTGCCCCCTCAGGCATCTCTTTTAAGGCTGAAGAACCCTAGCTTATCTAACTATTGATCATGGTTCAAGCCTCTAATACTGGAGATCATTCTGGTTGCTTTGCTCTGCACTGTCTCAGGCCTGATTATTATGAATTATTCCAGCTCAGTAATCCAATTCTCCAGAATCAGGTGATCCGATCAATGCATCTTATCCTTGAAACACACCCCAGACACTGCAAATACTCCATGTCCTGGGTACACAGGTAATTTGGGGGTTCAACTGTTTTGTTTAGGCACAACGTTGAGGCAGTTTTACACAGAATGCTGACCTGAAACACATGGGAATATTTTGCTTTCTCTGATAGAAGACAACCACATTGGTATGAGGATTGCTATTTTTGTAACTGTTTCTTGCCACATATTAATATTTTTGTGCTATCCATGAATTTTATTTTTTTAGAAACACAACCACCCTGACCTTTCTGTAACTTTATGTTGCAGTTGATACAGTGCCTGTCCCATTGGGAGGGCATTTCAAAGCACTTCATAGGAATTACTGTAATGCGCAGTGACTGTGTATTTGTAGGTGAACATGACAGCCAACTTGCACACAGCAACATCCCACAAACAACCATGAAATCAATGACTAATTTTCTGAGTGATTGTTGGCTAGGACACCAGGAGAAGCTCCCTTTCCTTTTCCACGAGATCTTCAACATCCACTTGAACAGGCAGCCTTTAAAGGCTCATCCAAATGACGGTATCTCTGACAATGCAGTGCTCGCCCAGCACAGCACTGGAGCGTCAACCAAGACTATGAGCTCAAAGTCCCCCGACGTGGGACGTGAACCCACAATTTTCTGAGTCAAAGGTAAGAGTGCTACCAGCTGAGCCAGGCTGAACCCTGACAATGTATTGCCATGAAATGGACGTTTTGAGAATATTATCACCGTTACCTTCAGTACTCCCACTTGCCCCAGTTCCTCAGCTCAGACTCATTACAATTTCTGCTGCAGTGAAATCTGAAACCTTTTGTATTGAACGAATAGCACCACATGACTATACAGAATTAACCACATTGTTTTAGCATATGTATAATAAGGCCTTTAATATGGGGAAATATATATATCACCCATTAACTTGTGTTAGACACAAGTGTACAGATTTACACTGTGTATTGTGTCTCCACTTCCTACCTCCCCATTCTCCACTTCTCTGTCCCTCTGGAAGTGGAAGCTTGATGCATAAATGAGATGGGAATAATAGTAATAATAATCCTTGCATTTGATATAACTCCTTTTACATTGGGAGCTCAATTCAAAGTGCTGCTGAGTATTTACCGTAAATTGTACTGACTACATTTTATCGGCAAATGCAGCAGCCAATTTGTGCACAGCAGTGTCCTACGAATGGCCTTAAAGTGAATAACTTTTTTGTTAATGAATTGTTGGCCAGGACATTAGGAGAGAGAAACTCCCTTCTCATTTCTAATAGTCCCATGGGATCTTTAACATCCACTTGAGCAGGCACAGTTGGGGCCTCGATTTAATGACTCACCTGAAGGACGAAGCCTCTAATAATGCAGTGCCTCCTCTGCTCCTCCCAGAGTTGTTCACCCCCAGCACTGGAGTGGCAGCCTAACCTGTAACCTTCTGACTGAGAGGTGAGATGCATCAGACTGACTCAGTTAGTAGCACTCCAGCCTCCGAAACAGAAAGTAGAGGGATATGGGAGAGGGGGTGGAAGCTCATGTGGCGTGTAAACACCAGCACAAATGATATGTTTCCATGCTTTAAAGCTCTACGTGGAATGCTCTGTAAATTGGATACAAGATCCCAAAAAACACATCAGTAGTCTTTTTTTTAAAAAAAGTAAAAAAGCAAAGTCGCGCAGTCCACTTTAACACGTTTTATGGGAAATAAAATCAGACTTCAGATAAAATCATCATAATTGATGGTACATTGTTTTGTGGTTGACATTGTTAGTGATAAGTTGCGGGACATTCGACTGTACATGAGGAGTAATAATAATAATTCTCACATTTGATATGCAAGACCCACTGTGTCCAAAGAGGGTTCCTTTTGTATATTCAGGACATAATAGTTTCAACAATGCTCTTGTTTGAACAATTCAACATAAAAAAAACAAAGTTTCTATTGAGCTGTAAATGAACAATTTCAGCATATAAAGTGGAGCTCTCTTGTTGGGAGTTTGAGGTTTAAAGTGAGCTAGCTATAAGTTATCTTTCATTAAACCCAACCATGCACGGCCAGTTATCTACAAATACTGTTAAGTGCAGCACATGCTACAGGAGTAAACAGTGGTTTGGATTCCTCTTTGCTTACAATTCAAGCCTCAAATGGGGCCAAATAAAGTGCATAGTTTTTAACAAAATGTTCAAGCTGCTGGGTTTTACGAAGCAAAGCTTAGAGTCATGTGCATGATTTGTTAATGCGGCACTTTAATTCTCTCCTCGCCACAGCTTCCCAACTCGCCTGCAAACTTACAATTCCTTTGATCTGCATCCCGATTTGGGTTGACAGGAGGAGAGTAGTTTTTGCCGGATAAAGCAATTGGGAGGGAACCAGAGGGAGGAGGAATAGGCAGCAGATTAAATACAGTGATTGCGTTTTGATCGGTTGCACGTCGCCTCGAATGTTTGAATGCGCAACTCACGCTCCAAAATGTGTAGATTTCAGCACAAAATCTTCTTTTTTGAGATTTTTGACTTTTCGTGCAATCTGTGCCTTTGGGTAACGAAGCAAGTCTGATGCACAGTATACTTCTGATAAGTCGTCACTCCAAGGGCAAGACCAGTTATTGACCAGTTATCCGAATTTAGGCACATGTATAAATACATAAATAAATGTGCCCGGCATATTGACAGCATGATAACTTAAGTGGTAGTGACAAGTTAAGCCAGTGTCGAGTTATTGGGAGTTTACTGTAATTTTTTGTAAATGCACCAAGTGTTTGGGTAAAGAAAGAGGTACAGCATGCGTTCACTGCTTGCCATTCTAACCAAATACTAATTGCAATACTCCATATATATTTTATATATATATATATATATAGCAAGAAAAACCCCAAACGAGAAAGAGAAAATAAAGAGAAATAAGGGGGTTCGGAGAGGGTGAGCGGTAGTCGTTTCGTTCACCGTTTAACCGTCTGTTGCTCTGAATTTAAAACGACTGGAAGCCGCTAAACTCCAGTCTCTCTACAGTCCCTACAAATAAAAAAAAGAGGTCAAAAGGGATCATCAGGTGGTTTTGAGTTTGCCATTGGCGAAGTTGGCTTTCTGGCTCCTGTTTTTGGGACAGTGAACCCGCAGCAGCACATTGGACAACACGTCCTGATAGTAGCTGAGAAACAGCCACCCGGGCAGGTACATGAGGGTGATCAGCCCCATGACGTTCAGGGGGTAATGAGAGTAATCCCAGGAACAGGCGCCGTAGCGCCTCAGGGCCAGTCCCCAGGTGAACTCCCAGGTGTAGATGAAGAGGATGTAGATGGGAATCCGCTGCCATGTGCTCCAGCCCATGTGGTCGTGCAGGTGCACGTAGAGCTTCTCCACCACGAAGCTGCAGCTGCCGTACATGAGGAAGGACCAGAGCGAGGTGTGGCCCGCCAGCCCGCCGTCCGCCTTCTCCACCAGGTTGAAGAGGGACGTGAAGACGATCTCGTCCAGGAAGCCGTGCATCCCGTAGAAGAGGAAGCGCAGGGCGTCCGGCAGCCCGTGCAGCCCGCGGGCCCGACTGCCCGCCGCCCGCCGGTACTGCAGGCGGAGCAGCCGCTTGAGCAGCACCTGCGAGTGGTACAGGGCGAGAGCGTAGAGCAGCAGCGCTCCCAACAGCGCGTCCCCCGGACCGGCAGCCAACCACCCCCGCACCGCGCCCTGCAAACCCACGTACGCCGAGGGGTACAGCAGGAGGTGGAAGAGCAGAGGGCGGCCCTGGAAGCTCCTCTTGTGCAGGTACAGCTTCTCCAGCGCCCAGTGAGTCAGGCAGTGAGCGAGCGCCAGGTAGGGCGACGAGAAGCCCAGCATCCTGGGGTCGCTGGTGCTGGCGAAGTGCTGTGCGGAGGAGAGCAGGATGTCCAGCGTGATGCCGTGCATGCCGTAGAAATAGAGGCGCATCCAGGCGGGCAGAGGCGGGCTGCAGGGGCCGGCGGCGGCGGCGGCGGCGGCAGCGGCGGCGGCGGCGCCGTCGGGAGCGGACGCCTCCTTGAGTCTGGCCACCGCGGGGGGAGCGAGGCGGCTCCGCTTGGCCGCCTGACCGCCCGCTCTCTCCATGCACAGCAGGCGCTGGGCGTCTCGTCTTTTGCTGGTCATCTCCAGAGCCTTGGATTAAAATAAATGAATGCCCCCCTCCCTCTCCCTCCCTCTCTCCCTCTCTCCCTCCCGGGAGAGGCCTCCTCCTCCTCCTCCTGCTGCTGCTGCAAAAAAAAATATATATATCTCTCTGGTGATGTCGGAATGGCAGCCGACAGCTGGACCGCTTGTGGATGTGCAGTGGGGGTCCGGGCGAAGGAGGAGGGGTCCCCGTTACCTGCTGTCAGCATCCACGCTCGGCTCCTGCATCAGCCCCGGGAGTGAGCCGCCGGGGACTCGGGATCACAGCTGCGCTCTCTCGTCCGTTCGTTCAGCGAAAGAAGCGGAGCGAACGTGACCTCCTTCCTCCCTTCATCTTTCGCTCCGACGAAGATGTCCGGAGCCGCAGAGGTTTTGGCGCGCAGGAGACCCGCAGCCATCGATGGGCCGAGTCGTTGCAGCCCCCACCTCTGCCGCGCTGTCCACAGCGCAGTGGCCTGAAAGCCGTTGGCGGCTCTCACGGTGGCATTCTGAGCCTCTCTGCACAACGCGCAGGTGGAGGCAAAGGGGGGGGGGAGGGGGGAGGCAGAGGGAGGGGGGGGGAGGGTGGAGGCAAAGGGAGGGGAGGCAGGGGGGGGGAGGAGGCAGAGGGAGGGGGGGAGGAGGCAGAGGGAGGGGGGGAGGGTGGAGGCAAAGGGGGGGAGGCAAAGGGGGGAGGGGGGAGGCAGGGGGGGGAGAGGGTGGATGCAGAGGGAGGGGGGGGAGGGTGGAGGCAAAGGGAGGGAGGCAGAGGGGGGGGGAGGAGGCAGAGGGAGGGGGGGGAGGAGGCAGAGGGAGGGGGGGGGAGGGGGGAGGCAAAGGGGGGGGGGAGGGTGAAGGCAAAGGGGGGGAGGCAGAGGGGGGGGGAGAAATGGCACATCACATGTATGCACATCAACTGGATAGACCGGTCTGAGTCACACTGTTCTTGCATCGGATGCTCGGTTTTTTTTCCCTTGGGGTGAGTTCACTGTGACACAAAGGAAGCAAACGGCGCAACGCTCCCCTCCAATCTTATCAGCAGGAAGGGAAATGGCAGCAATGATAACCGGCCGGGTTTGATGCAGCGGCCCGCATCGTGTTGGCGGTTCGACTCCACGCGCCGGGTAGGATTTACCTGGTCGGTGAGGTGCGGCGAATGTGTTTGCGGATAAAGACGAGAGTCAATTTCTGCACAGCAACGTCCCTATTATAATCACTTTCCTTGCATTTGATGCAGCGCCTTATCACGTCATCAAGAGGTCTCAAAGCGCTCCATAGGTTTCACTGTCAAGTGGAGTGACGGTGTATTTGTAGACAAACGCAATAGCCAATTTGCGCGCAGCAATATCCCACAAACAGCCATGAAGTGAATCAATTTTATCTTCGGTATTGATGGCCAGGACCCCGGGAGAGAGAAACTCACCTCACTGTAACATTCCTTCCCTAGAATATCGAAATGCCTTGAAGGGATTTACAGGTATGAACTAACTGTAGTCGGCTCCCACCAATGTCAGCCTGGCTCAGTTGATAGCACTCTCACCTCTGAGTCAGAAGGTTGTGGGTTCAAGCCAACACGTTGGGGACTTTGAGCTCACAGTCCATACCGACGCTCCTGTGCAGTGCTGGGGAGGTGCGTTGCATTGCTGGCCATGCCAACCTTCGGATGAGATGTTAAACCGAGGTCCCATCTGCTCATTCAGGTGGAAATTAAATAAAAATTCTATGACAGGATAGAAAAAGGGATTATTATAAGTATTGTTATATTATTATTATAAGTATTATTATCATGTCTCTGGCTCTGACCTGCTCAACCTTTCTATCCTCTCACTCAAGCTCCCACTGAACCTGTGTGCAAAATGGGCTTCCTTGCTCACATTCTGTCCCTGACCAGGACCGCTTTTCTTCACCTCTGCCACACTGCCCACCTCGTCTATCTTACACCAAAGGCCACCAACATATTTATCCATGCTCTTCTACCTCAATTTCTCCAAATGTACTCCTTGCTGTTTGACCTTCCACAAGCTCCAGCGAATCCAAATATCTTCTGTCCATGTGTTTTCCAAAACCCCTCTATACCCACCTTCATTCCTCCATTCCCCTCTCCTGTACCTCTTTATTCCCCTCTCCTCTATTTCCCTTACACTCCTCTAGATCCTCTTGCACCCCTCTGTAGCCCCCTATACCCCTCTATTCCCTTCTCTATACTCCTCTATTCCCCTTGTCTACACCCCTCCCTCTCTCCTACCCCCTTCCATTCCCCTGTGCTAAACCCCTCTATTCCCCGCTCCTATTCTCTATTCCCCTCTCTTCTATCCTCTCTTACTCAGGTCTGCATCAATTTACTGACTGATTATATTTATACCCTCAAAGAAGCAACCGTTCACCACTATTCTGCTTTCTGTCCCTCAGTGAGTTTTGTATTCATTCTGCCACTATCCCTTTATCACTTTGGACTTCAATTTTTTTAACAAGTCGATTGTGTGGCACTTTCTCAAAAGCTTTTTGAAAATCCATACAGACTACATTAACTGCACTACTTTCATCCATCCTCTCCAAAACTTCATCAAAAAACTATCAGGTTTGTTAGACATGATTGTCCTTTAACAATTCCGTCAACTGTCCTTTCTTAGTCCTGTAGCTCAGTGGTTAGAGCACTCGCTTTGCAAACGAGAGACCTGAGTTCAATTCCAGGCAGGGCGAAACCTTGGGCAAGTTTCCTTATTCCACACGCCTAATAATAATCCCTCCAAAACAAAAAAAATAATAAATCGGTCATTTTCTATCTACGACTGTTTGTGGGACACTGCTGTGCGCAATTGGCTGCCGCGTTCACTCACAAATATATAGTCAATTCACTTTACAGTATATTCTGTGAAGCGCTTTGAGACGTCTAGAAGATGTGAAAAGCGCTATATCAAATGCAAGGATTATTATTATTAACCTATACTTTTCTAAGTGAAAATTTATTTTCACCCGGATTATCATCTCTAGAAGTTTTCCCTCTAATGACGTTAGGCTGACCGGCCTGTAGTTTCCAGGTTTATCCTTCTCCCCCTTTTTGTACATTTGCAACCCTCCAGTCCTCTGGCACCACTCAGGTAACCAAGGAGAATTGAAAAATTGTGGCCCGAGCCTCTGCTATTTCCACCCTTACTTCCCTCAGTAACTTAGGATGCATCCCATCCTGACCAGGTGACTTATCTGCCTTGAGCACCGTCAACCTTTTAAGTACCTCCTCTTTTTATCCTATCCGATTTCTCTACCCTCTTCTCCAATACTGTGTATAGATTGGCAGAAGCCAAGACCTGGTGGCTCTGCTGCGATTGAATGTACAGCACTCCAATGCAAGGTGCTAACAGGCTAAGGTTGCACTCCTCGTGTGAAGGTACCATCCTTGATGTAATGGTTGTTCCTGAATCATGTGTTAGTAGATTCCTGACTGTTTTAGGGACATTACTGTGTGCAAATTGGCTGTTGAATTCACAGACAATATCCACGGTTACTACCCTTTACCTGGGAAGTGTTTTAAGCATTGCAATGGAATGTCAGCGTAAGTAGACTATATAATAATAATAATCCTTGCATTTGATAAAGCGCCTTATCATGTCTTCGAGATGTCTCAAAACGCTTCACAGAATATACTGTAAAGTGAATTTTATATTTTGTGAGTGAAACGTGGCAGCCAATTGCGCACAACAGTATCCCACAAACGTTTTTCCCGATTACCGCAAGCTTCTCAGAGATTAGAGTGTTACCAACTGAGCCAGGTGGATACCTTAAATACAAAATAACTTACACATTTACACACCAAACCTGGGAACGCATAAATTGCATACAATTCTTTTGCAAACAAAACCAGTAGAAAAACAAATATGTACCAACTGTGTACCTGCGCCCACATTTATGTTCACAAGCCTTTATTGCTTTCTGTAACGTAACTTGCAGATCCTGAAATAAGTTTTGCTTCCCAGCTTTGCTCCTTCCTCTCCCGCCACTCCCTTCACAAACCACTTCAATCGGGTTTCCGTGCTGCCCACAGCACAGAAATAGCCCTGATCAAAATGACAAATGATATTCTGTCCATCTGTGACCAGGGATCTCTGCTTCCTCGTCCCCCTTGACCTCTCTGCTGCATTCGACACCGTCGACCACTCTATCTTCATCCACCACCTCTCCTCTCACCTCAACTTCCACGGCTTTGTCCTTGACTGGTTCAGATCATACCTTTCGCACTGCCTCCACTTCATCTCCACAAATGGCTTCTCCTCCAGCCCCTGCAGCATCTTGTGCATTGTTCCTTAGATCTCTGTCCTTGGTCCCCTCCTCTTCAATATCTATATGCTCCCTCTTGGTGACATCATCCGCAGTTATGGGGTCAACTTCCACATGTATGCGGATGACACCCAACTGTACCTCGCTGCCTCCACCCTTGAGAATGTCTGTCAGAATATCAAGTCCTGGATGAGAGCTAATTTTCTTCAGTTGAAAGTCAACAAGACCGAGGCTCTCCTGATTGGCTCCCATCAGCCCCTCACACCTCAGGCGCTGACAGTATCACCATCCATGGTTGCACACTCCACCTTACTAAGCCAGTCCAGAACTTTGGGGACTTGTTTGACCTTCAACTATCCTTTCTACCCCACATCTGTGCGATGACCTGCTCTGCCTTCCACCACTTCCGCAACATTGCCCGGCTCCTCCACTGTCTCACTCCACAGGCTGCTGAAACCCTCATTCATGCTTTCATTACATTAAGGCTTGACTATGCAAACTCCTTGCTTGTTGGCCTCCCCAACTCCTCGCTCCATAAGTTGCAGATCATCCATAACTCTCCCGCACCAGGCTCCTTGACTCTATCACCCCCATCCTCACATGACTCCACTGGCTTCCCATCACACAGAGGATACAGTTCAAGATCCTGGTCCTCACCTCCATGGTCTTGCTCCCCCTTACCTCTGTAACTTCCTAACCCCCTACAATTCCGCTTGCTCCCTTTGTTC